TTTCATTATTACAAAATATAAAGTCATAATTAATATTTCATAATAGGGGACTGTAATCATGTTGTTCTGTCATTTTCGACAGAACATAAATTACACATGTCACATATGTTGATATGATAGAGAACATCCTTGCAATAAGTGTAACTAGATAGAGACAAAAAGATGGATACAGACAAAAGGTATGCTATTTCTGATTGTTTTTTTTTATTGGAAAAAAAAAGAGTTCATTTACCTGTATGAACAAAATAAAATAATGGAAATTGGAAACAAAACAGCAACAACACTTAATTCATCTAAAATAACAATGGTAAATTATTTTTTAAAGTTTGAAATGTCATCAAGACAAGAGCCTTAATTACAACACTAGTTAATCCAAAAATTCAATCTAAAAACCCAATTAATAATTTATGCATTCCTTCAATAGTTTTTAAAAAAGATTCTATGTGGTTCAAGGTGATATTGTGAAAACTAGCATTTCTTCGTAGCTCCCCTATTTTTCTGTTATGAAAAAATTGGTTTGGTTTCTCATTATGTGACACCTCATTATTAAAGATCTACACATTTGGATTCACATAAAAAACCTTTTACATTTTTTTTTTATATTTTAAGTTTCAAAAAGCAAGTTTACATGAATATTTCCTGACATTTTCGAAAAAAAACATAACACTATGGCGAATTTATGATAAACAGACAGGTGGTCAACATTCTTTGTTTTCATTTTAATCATAAAAACCCTAGGGAAATTTAGTATTATAGTTTTATTTTATTATTAAAGAGTTTTTCCTATTTTTTTTTTTGTAAATATAATTCAGGAAATTAAAGGAAAAGCAATTTTCCGTTTTCAGAAAATGGTCAACGACCACACACAAATCATCTTTCAAGGGAGATTATTTAACTATTGATTGATTTCTCTATCAAAACAAAAACTCGCATCATTTCCTGGTATGCTGTTATTTTCACAGAACAAAAAATTTGTAAAATAGTTAACCTGAAAATAACATGAAAAACAATTTACACTTTTTCCAGCTTTTTAGCTTCTGATAGGCATTGGATTAGAACAAAACACATTTGTCATAATTGAAAACAAGAAGTATTTTTTACATATCAATATTTTTGCCAATCAGGTTCTATTTTAAGGTATTTCTAAGACAGAAAAGTCTATCTTTATCCAAGTTCTTTGCCAAAATTAATTTGACTGTAGTATATATATAACATGTTTTGAAGGGTACTATCATTCAGAACATCTGCTGAGCTTGTAAATTAACAAAAACTTAATTAGCAACCCAGATCATTGTACTTGTAATAAAATAAATCTTAGTGAAATACATTGATTTTGTGAGCCAAGCCACATTATTGATGTTGTAGAGCTAGTGTAAGGGGCAAGTCATTACTAATGCTGTACTCATTTTGACAGACCAGGAAAACAGTAATAATATAATTGATAGGTTTTCGTGAATCATTAATGAACAGTCAATAAAGATTTTGTCAAATCTATTCTTCAGTTCCATGGAGCAAGTAAATAAGTGTAAACAACCATTGACAGAAGAGTTGTATAGCTCACTGGAAAGCAATGAGGACCAAATTATATGTGCCTCTACAGTACTTAATATGACCGCAAAATATTAATTCTCAAAAGGAAGGTTGGGATTGATTTTGGGGGTTATGGCCCAAACTGTTTAGGAATTAGGAAATTTCAAAAAACTAGGATTTTCTGGTTTCTGGACAATAACTTGAGTATCAGTCTATTGATCTCTATGAAATTGTTTCATACCAAAAAAGGAAGGTTGAAATTGATTTTTAATATGGTATACCGTTGTCTGTCCTTCCGTCGTCAACATGTCAGACAATAACTCAAAAACACTTTAACCAGAAATTTTGGTGAATTGTTTATATTTTTTGACGTGAGCTCCCTTTCGTTTTTTATAAATTTTAGATTTTAAGTTTCCGAGTTATGGGGTTTTATTCATTAAAAAAGGGGGATTTCCAGTTTTTCGGACAATAACTCAAAATACTTTCACCAATTTGCAAGAAACTTTGGTGAATTGTTTATATCTATTGACATGAGCTCCCTTTCGATTTTTATAAATTTTAGATTTTATGTTTCCGAGTTATGGGGTTTTATTCATTAAAAAAATGGGGATATTCCAGTTTTCGGACAAGAACTCAAAAATGCCTTCAGCAGTTTTCATGAAAGTTTGGTGAATTGTTTATATCTATTTAGATAACCTCCCTTTAGTTTTTCATAAATTTCTGAAATGACATTGAGAAATTATTGAACTTTATTCTTTAAAAAATCGACAGGCGTATCATGGGCTCATGGTGCAGCTGTTGATTGGGTTACATAAGGTGCCTTTCGATTTTTGTAAATTTTAGATTTTACGTTTCCGAGTGATTTTATTCATAAAAAGGGGGTGATTTTCCAGTTTTCGGACAATATCTTTAAAGTGCTTAGAGCAGTTTTCATGAAACTTTGGTGACTGGTTTATATCTATTAAGATAACCTCCCTTTAGTTTTTCATAAATTTCTGAAATGACATTGAGAAGTTATTGAACTTTATTCTTTAAAAAAGCAACAGGTGTATCATGGGCTCATGGTGCAGCTGTTGATTGGGTTATGGCCTAACCTTTTAGGTAATAGAGGCCAAAAACAATACTTTTCTAATACTTTGACCATTTTCAATATGGTTTAATTCAATGTCTTGCATATTTGGGGTTGTTTAATATGCTGAATCTATGTATGTAGATTTTGGATTTTGGGCCTCGTTTTTAAATTGGTCCACATTGAGGTCCATAGGCTCAAAAAATTTAAAATTTGTTTGATTTCATCAAAAATTAAACTATTAGGGTTCTTTGGTATGCCAAATCTAACCTTGTATTTCGATTTTTAATTTTGGGCCCTGTTTTCAAATTGGTCCACATCAATGTCAAAAAGGTCCAAAATTAAACTTATTTTTATTATAACAAAAATTCTTTGGGTTCTTTGATATGCTGAATCTTAAAACATATATTTAGATTTTTGATTTTGGGTCAAGTTTTCAAGTTGGTTCAAGTCTGGGTCAAAAATAAAACTTTATTTGATTTCAACAAAAATTTAACATATGGGTTCTTTGATACAATGAATCTAACCGTGTATTTAGATTTTGGGCCCTGTTATCAAATTGGTTCACATTGAGGTCCAAAGGGTCCAAAATTAAACTTTGTTTGATTTCATCAAAAATTGAATTCTTGGGGTTCTTTGATAATCTGAATCTAACCATGTATTTTGGTTTTGGATATTGGACCATGATAGATAATGCCCAATTTAAAATTTTTGAGTTTTTGGACCACTTTCATTCTGTGCCAGAAACCTATGCTGGGTCAAATATTTAATCACAATCCAAATTCAGAGCAGTTTCAAGCTTGAATGTTTTGTCATACTAATGGCCCAACTGTTCAGGGTTCGACCTCTGCAGTCGTATTCAAGCTGCGCAATGCGGAGCATTTTATAAGTATATATATACATATATACTAATTTTCTTCTGTCTGTGCATCTGATTGCACTGTCTATCTATCCAGAACACATTTGTGTCACATTTTTCTTTGTCTACAGATACATTTAAAGCTGTATAGATTTATGAGCCTGAAACTAGAAGGGAATTTGTTACAGGAAATATTGAGTTTATTTGTCATCGCATATTTCATATATTTACATAATACAAATAGTGTGTTAAAATCAGATTGTTATGCAACGAATAAACATGTGTTACTATACTTGATTTGTGTGTATACTTACATAATGTTAATGTATTATAAGTAGATATTTGAAATTTTGATTATATATATCAGTATAAGATAAAGCACTTTGGAGCCTATTATATTTCTGCAATTAGTAATTTTTAAAAGATCAGTCCCTTGTCAATCACAAAATAGAGAAAATAAGACATTTTATTTTGGTGTTCATCATGTTGGAATTTAACATAACAAGGCCACAAAACTCATCAGTAAAGCTTTTGTTTTTTGAACACATATTTATAGATATTTTATCCTCAAATCTTAATAGTATTTGGAAATAATAGACTTCCAAGTCATCTCTGGTGTATTGCATGATAAAGCAGGAAGTTTTTTTGTTTCTATAACTTTTCATCAAATTTTGTTGGCATGATGTGTGAAGAGTTTATATTTCTAACTGAAGTCAGAATGACAAGATATACTGTTACTATATATTTCAAGTAGCAAAAAGTTCTAGGGCTTTTTTCACTGAAAATCATACAACGAAAATTGATTGTAAGGTAAACTGAAATGTTGATGAATTACAAGTATTTTGTCTGGTAAGATTTTTTGTGAAATGAGTCGCTGGCTGGCTGGCTGGCTGGCTGGCTATCTTTTTTGTTGTTTGAAGTTATTTATTTAAAATCTATTTGCAGCCAAGAAAGGATAAGGTTTAAATAAAAGGCCTAAAACTATACATGAAAGTATGAATACAATTTCTGAACAAACGTCAGTAAAAAATGTTTGATAATTACGAAACTATTTAGCTTATCTATTGCCTCTAAAAATATTTCCTTCTCTAAGATTATAGTGAAAGGGAGGTAAGATAAAACTGATGTAAAGAATTCAAAGATTTTAGTCATTTGTCCATTAAAAATGAAATTATTTTTGTAAAACAACATGATAAAAGATTGGGTTTTTTTTATTTAAAAAGAAATTAAACAATTCAATAGTGATTTAATTATTTCCTTTATTTACTTTTTAGAGTGTTGCACTTTTACATTTCAAGAAATAATGGGTTCTTAAAAAATAATCTTGTCTTTTTTTCATTGTTTTTCTTCATTGGTGGGCTTGCTGTTGTAAAATATTCTTTTTATGTCATAAAAACACACTTTAATAATGACATATACAAAATAAAAGTTGTTCAAGTTATTCTAATTCTAATATATGACATATATATCATAAAAGGGAACATTTCTCTTTACCTGAGGTCAATGTCACCAAAACACGACAACTATTAGGTAAACCAAGGAAATACATACTTTATATACTTTAACATGTTTAAGTGGGAAGAGGTTAATCCTAAAGGAATTTTAACATTATGATGCTCTAACAGTATTATTTAAATCTCTAAACTTGATATAGTGTGAGCAATACAATGATGATGATTTTATTGTCATTGATGTTTTGATTTCTGAAAAGATTTACCTGGAGGTATAGATTACACACCTAAAGGTTGTAAAAGTTTGTAAACATTGTGTAAAACAAAAACATCCACTGGATAGTATAATAGATAAACAAGAATTAAGTTACTTTACGGTGTGGTTCAAAGTTGATATTGCCTTGGTCTATAGTGGAACAATTCAGGAAAAACAGCATGGATGAGTAAGTTTTTAACTTTTTCATTTCACCAAGTTCATTTTGGGTAACCTTTCTCTGAAGAATCAAACAAACAGTAATTAGAGGTTAACTTTTTTTAAATTTTGAAAGAAAAAAAATGTCCATGAATTGTATTTAAAGTGGGAGAAACTAGGAAGTAGTTGAACATTTGTTTGTGTGCATATGGAAATTTAATTGGTCTCTCTCTATCATAGGTATATGTGGTTATAGTTCGTAATTTTGCACCATTCCTATTAATTGATGAAAGCTGTCTCAAAAAATAAGATCTGTCGTTATTCAATATGGCTTTATAAAACAAAATAAGGAAGTAATTATATATTTGTTTTTCGATTAAAAATAAAATCTATAATCCAGTTTTATTTATACTTCAAGTCCTTATTAGGTTGTATTATTTCCCTGTCTAGATAAAACTCTTTAACATCAAGTTATGACGTAAATGCATTTTTTGGAATCTTGAAGTCAGATGCCAAGGTCATTTGTTATAAATATAGTACTTTTTGTTTGCATTGAAGAAACAATATTAGAATTTGATTTGATATTTCATTGTTTTGGCTAAATTGATTGAGACATTGCTGATTACTGGGAAACAAAGCTAATTTCATGTAGCACTCGAAGTACTACACTTTTAATTAAAAATATGTCTTCTCCCGTAACTTTTAAGGATTTACATTATTTCTGGAACATTTTCAATTTTTTTAGTTACAAAAATGTGAGAAAACTAATTTCATCTTAAATATGTGGGAAGATCATTTTCTAGAAATTCATATTTCATAGTAGTGTTTTCCTGTATTCATTTTTTTTTTTTAAACTGATTACCGGTTTAACTATTTGACTAATTTCAAAGACAAAATTCAATCATTTCCTTCTGTGCAGCTTAAAATCTTTATTAGTTATTTTGGTTGTTTTATAGAAGGATTTGCTTGATGATATTCATATAAAATATTAATAAAAAGAGATGTGACCACTAAAGGTCAATAAAACAGCAATACCATGAAGATGCCAATAATAAAAAAAAACATCTAAAGTAAAGGACAATTCTTTAACAAAACTGGTCTCAGGAGTCTATACAATATCTCAGACTTTAAATCATTCTGAGTTTAGTTAAGTAAATGTAACTTAACTTAAAATTAGTGATCATTATATAAACATCAAATTATATAATAAAATTGATTTTCCATTTGGAGCCTACATTGCATCAGTGATCTTTTGATTTTCGTTGTACCGTGGATTTAGAATCTGAATAGTTCTGTTGCTGAAAGTTCTACTGTAACTTTATAAACGTTCCTGAATATTATGATTTTTCTGTGTCCTGGCATTTCCAAATTAACATTGTAATTCTACAGATGAAAAAGAATTAGAGACAGAGAATCATTCTTTGACATAATTTTGGATTGCTCACCTGGTGTCAGGTTCATATACCTTTTTAGCTCACCTGGCCCGAAGGGCCAAGTGAGCTTTTCTCATCACTTGGTTCCGTCGTCCATCGTCCGTCGTCGTCGTCGTTAGCTTTTTACAAAAATCTTCTCCTCTGAAACCACTGGGCCAAATTTAACCAAACTTGGCCACAACCATCATTAGGGTATCTAGTTTAAAAAAATGTGTCCGATGACCCCGCCAACCAACCAAGATGGCCGCCATGGCTAAAAATAGAACATAGGGGTAAAATGTAGATTTTGGCTTATATCTCTGAAACCAAAGCATTTAGAGTAAATCTGACATGGGTGAAACTGATTATCAGGTCAAGATCTATCTGCCCTGAAATTTTCAGACAAATCTGACAACCTGTTGTTGGGTTGCTGCCCCTGAATTGGTAATTTTAAGGAAATTTTGCAGTTTTTGGTTATTATCTTGAATATTATTATAGATAGAGATAAACTGTAAACAGCAATAATGTTCAGCAAAGTAAGATCTACAAATAAGTTGTCATGACCAAAATTGTCAGTCGACCCCTTTAGGAGTTATTGCCCTTAATAGTCAATTTTTAACAATTTTTCGTAAATTTTTGTAATCTTTTACAAAAATTTTCTTCTCTGAAACTATACTGAGACTAATTTTACCATACTTGGCCATAATCATTATTAGGGTATCTTGTTTAAAAAATTTGTCCCATGACCCCGCCTTCTAACCATCATGGCCGACTTGGTTAAAAATAGAACATAGGGGTAAAATGCAGTTTTTGGTTTATATCTCTGAAACTAAAGCATTTAGAGCAAATCTGACAGGTGGCAAAAATGTTTATTATATTTAGATTTATCTGCCCTGAAATTTTCAGACGAATCCGACAACCCGTTGTTGGGTTGCTGCCCCTGAGTTAGTAATTTTACAAAAATTTTGCAGTTTTTTGTTATTATCTTAGATATCATTATAATATCTAATATCTAATACAATTAATTATGATTTTAACCTTATTTTACATGATTTCCAAAGCATCAGTAAATACAGGTGAGCGACACATGCTCTTGAGATCCTCTAGTTTTACAACCCTGCTATGACAATAGTCATTATAGTTTTCGGTCTGCACATTTTTGTCCATCTTCCCCTCTGTTCCCACTTCAGGTCAAAGTTTTGATTGAAGTTAGTTACCATAAAGTTGCAGTCACATTAACTTAAAACTAAGTAACAAATGTTCACAATATGATATGAACTTAAAAAATATATACCAAATCATGATTTTGACCCAGGTTTTGTGGATCACTGAACAATGAAATGTGATAGTGTCAGCAGGGCATGGTGTCATATGGAAACAATATATTCTTGTTTTTATTTTATTTAGATAGTTGCATAAACAATTTGAAAATTTATAGATTACTCAATTCAGTTTAACTTTACTTTAAGTTGTATCCAACCATTTATTGCCAAATGCAATGCATGAGATTCAGAATTTATTTTTAAGAGCAGTCTTGATATACTTTGAATTGAATTGACTTCTTGCACAAAAATTAATCAATGCAAATAAGTTAAGAGTCTCTATGTTGAAGACTGTATGTTGCCCTCTAGATGTCCATAGGTTATTTTTCGTTTTCGTTTGAAGTATGATCTACATTATATATTCTTTTATTATTATTACATAAAAAAAGGATAAGAATGATTTACATTGCTGTAAAGTAAAATTCATTGACGTCTGAATGCTTGGATTAACCTAATGATGTTGGTCTTTACATGAGATATATAAATATATATATTCAACTATGGTCATCTCATTTAGATCACATGACATACTTTGAAATGTTGCTATTAATCATCATTTACCCCCAATACACCTGATCAAACAAAACTGATGGACTTTATTTTGTCCAATTAATTAGTAAAACCAATAAATGTATTTCCCAATTGACAGTGTATTAATCAAGACAGTGATAACTTATATAATGAGACTTTCTAGATCCTAGCTATGTTAATTTCTGTTTCACTGACCAAAGCTATAATCTATTTGATGGTCCTTGAAAAATGGCTTTATAAATCACGTACTGAGCAAGATAAGCTAAAATAAATTTCTCTATTTATTGCTAGACTATTGCACAGAGAATTTACCAGAAAGAAATTACATTACGCTTATTTTTAGCTTCTTGCAGTTGTCATTGTTAGATTAAGAAGGAAAGTGTTTTATAATGTTTGTGTTTTATACAATTATTCATCAAATATTTCTTGAAGATGCACCAGTTAGGTTGGAATCCGATTTTCATGTCATTTTAAATTTAAGTATATTGTAGCTTTGAAAGAGTATTGGTCCTAATGTTGGATAATAGTTTTTACAAGAGAGCACTTTGGTTTTATATCACAAACTGCAATTTGATAAAGTTTTTATTTGACTTTAAAGGCAGGATTATCAACGAATACAGTCAAGTCACAGTAATAAATCATGAGATCTTCTTTATTTATAGAAAATGTTCCTTGACGACTTCTTTTTGGTTGATGTTTCAAATGATACAAGCTGCTTTGTCAATCTAAAAGAGGTATATTCAATTCACCAAGTTTTGGCAAGGTGTAAAATCTTGACTGGCTGGACTGTTGGACTGATCTGAAAAGGATTGTTGCTCATATCTGGAAAGTGTTTAATTATTTGTTTTTCTTTCAATTTACATCTTTGTTTTTATGAAGAGTATTAAGGGTGAATACATGTGAAGTTTTAATCCCATGCACAATGGGCAACATTGATAAAGGTGTAGGGGCATTCAGGCCCTGGGTTTTGGCCCATGAAAATAAAATGTTTGACAACTATTTGACATTGTCACATAATGTTTTGAAATGCATGGGGTTAAGAAATATAAATGAAATACATAAACAATTTTATTTGAAAACGTCACAATTACATCATTATATGTACCGTGTTCATAAAAACGATGAAAAATACAGAATGTAGGTGGTTTGGCAACGTTACTTCTGTTGTAGAAACATTGAGCGCAGCCAAGAAACAACAAAATAATTTCAGAGAAGCTTTATTATAACTATTGACGTAATCTCCCCAAATATAAAGTTGTTTCTTGGGTGTGCACATACTTTACCAATCTAAAATATACTTTTAAAAAATTTGATGAAAAACAAGGAAAATAAAGAAATTTTACAAAAAATGCAAATTTCGTTCTGGCGTGTTGCCATGGTAACTCGTTCAATGTGATTTTTTTGTTAATTTTCTGAATACCTTGTACCTTTGTCTAGTTTGGACAAATTTAAGAATGCATATGATAACTTTTAAATTTGGGCCAAATAAGGGCCTTTAATGCCCATACTCCTTTCATGGAAAAACAAATATTAAAGCATTTCCCAGTAAAGTCAAAAGTCCATCCAGTCCATGGGTCAAGTCCAAGAGTCCAGTCTAGTCAAGATTTTACACTTTGCCCTCAGTATCCTGTACAGATGAAGTGGTAAATTTCAAAAAGAAAAATAAGTTAATGTTGACAGTATATTGTCATGGAAAGTTTGTATAACTGATTGGGGAAGTTTTACAAAATGGGAAACTCTTGCAATATGACATAAGAGGCAAAACCAGATATATTGGTAAACATTAATCTGGAGATCAGATTATGACAAGTAATACTTAATTTCTATCAAAATAAGATAATTTATTGTATAATAGGATCATGCTATTGATACAAAGTTGGTTGTCTTTAATCATTGCTATTGTGGAAGTGAATCATATCTCAGAAACTAACTTCAGATCATTAAATCGTGTAATACAATTGTCAGGAATTTGTAATGACTTTTCTGTTGCTTTGACGGGCTAAGTTAGCATATTTGGTCAAACATAAAGCTATGGTGATTAATTGTATTGATTTAGTATATTTCATGGGCATAAAGGGGGTACAATATTAGTTTTATATCTTCTGATTTCTTTGACTGTCAAATAACTTTTTGTGTTTTCATTTGTGAAATTAATTGGGGAGTGGAATAAGACTGTGTTTTGTTCTCAAAGGAGGATTTAAACAAATAATGGATCAAGTCTGGAAATTGCTCTTCAGGTATTTTTTTCAGACATTCTTAATTTTTTTCTAATTTTCAATTTATTTAGTTTTGCATTTACACTGTACAAAAGGTGCAAATTTTTCAAACTGATTGTGTTGCATAACTAATGAAGAGCTTCACTGTTGTACATGTACATAAGTTTGGATAGTAAGAATGGCTTAAACTTTTTGCCCTGACCTCTATTTTCATTTTTGCATCAAAGATATGTGTTGATTTACTTGCATCATTTAGAACATGTTCAAATGTTATAATTCATGCCATGCCTAATTTTGCAACTTTTCTTTCTCAGACAACATTTGTAAAATCTAATGACATAATTTTTTGGTATTTAAAACTACAAAACTTCTTTTTTTCTGTAATAAATTACATAACAGAAACTTTTCTCAGTTGGATCATAATTGTTGCATGTGAAATTCTAAAAGTAGAAATGATCATAATGGATATTTCAAATTGTTGCATAACATTATTATAATTATGCAATCATTGAAAGACATAAAAACATATATCTTTCTGATTGTATCAACCAAACAAATTTATCAACACTTATTGATTTGAACTTAACATCAAATTAGTGCACAAAACATAATATAAGAATAACAAGTCTTGGCCTTTTATTGTTGGCTTATTTGCTTTTAAAGGAAGCAGCATTCAGTGTTGGCTTTGCTCTCAAAGGACAATTTGTATCATTAGTGTATTAAGGAATTATCAGGAATATAAGATCATTATAATGTCCACAAATCAGGTTTGGACTTTGTTATTTGGGTAGGTTAAACATTCTATTGACTACATATACTTTTAAATTATTGTATGCTGTATTTGTGCTATTTTAAATCTAAAAATTTAATTATCTTATAATACTCTAATAGTTATTTTTTTTAATTCAAGGACGAAAGGAACATTTCTTTAATTCAAGACATTAACCTGGTTATTATTAAATGCAAGATATATATATATATATTACAGCTTATGTACATATATTCTGTGCATGATAAAAACAAAAGTTAGAAAATTATAAAAAAAAATATATGCTTTTAATGTTTTAATATATAGAACCTTACAGCTTGAATAGTTTATATATACCAGGCCAAATACTATGGAAAAACAACATAGCCAATGCAGTTTATTCTGTGGGGCTGTCAAAGACCCGCCAACTTTCTTTTTATGGGGGATTTCCCTCATGAGAGGTGTTGGCGAGTGTGTGCCAGCTGACCTGACTCTTTAAATCATCTTTAAATAAACTGAATACTACAGAACTGGCATTCAAAGGATACATACGATCTCATCCAAATCCATACATACAATCTCATCCAAATCTATACTTAATCAGATTTAAATGACTTATGGCATGAATGCAAGATACATGTCAGCTTGTGCTACTGGGTCAGAGTGAGAAGGAGGCAGTTATACTTTTCTTTTAATCCTGTGCAATGAAAGTCATTACACTATCTTCATAAATAAACAAAAACGTTGAGTAAAAATGTTTAAGACAGTAACCCAATGACGTAAGAAATCATGTATTCTTTATCAGTATCGTCAGATCATATGTTTTCGTACGTCATATGAATTCGTACTATGCATGCTTTTTCAATGGGAATTGTGACATCACAATGCATTTTAAATAGCACGAAAACCAATGATACGTGGATAATATTGTACCATGTTGTTTTATTTTTTAGAAAACATAGCAGTGGTGATCTCCATAGTCGTCTAAAGACCAGGAAGTTACTGGGAGTCGGGGAAACAGATGATGGGGATGTCCATAGGTCAAAGGTAAGAGCACAATATCTAGAATAGTTATGAATGAAAGGTGATATTGGAGTAACCAGGGTGTATACCTCCTTGAAATCAAATCAACAGCACACAACAGCACTCAGTTTGTTCATAAATAGATAAATATTTTTATTATTGGTTGAGTCTGTACCTACTGGAATGACTTTTTTGGCCTATTGTTAGCTCTGCAATGTTACCCACATGATCCTCCTGTCTTGTGTACAGGAGTTGTGCTGTCCAATATTACTGACAATGTTGAGTATCCTTTTGATATCTATACTATTAAATTTGGAGACCAAAATTTTTTAGCCGGTTTGTCTCCGAGCTGACGATCGTCTGAAGTATTATATAATAATAAATAGTTAGTGTATGTAATGTACTTTATAACTTCATATAATAATTGCTTTAATTAGCGTAGCTTAATTAATTAAACCCCAAATAAAGTTCTGTAGCTGGTTCCTTACCGTCTACGTTTTGTAAGCAGGCGGAAATGGTTTTGTATTCAATTTGTCTTGACAACTTGGCCCATGGCCTACTCCCCCAACCCAAACACTCTCACTAATTATTACAACTTGCATCACTTTATTAAACTCGCACCACTCAAAAAAAGAAAAAAGAAATTTAACAAACTCGAAGAATCTATCTATATACTATTAAATTTGGAGACCAAAATTTTTTAGCCAGTTTGTCTCCCAGCTGACAATCGTCTGAAGTATTATAAAATGATAAATAGTTAGTGTATGTAATGTACTTTATAACTTTATATAATAATTGCTTTAATTAGCTTAGCTTAATTAATTAAACCCCAAATAAAGTTCCGTAGCTGGTTCCTTACCGTCTATGTTTTGTAAGCAGGCGGAAATGGTTTTGAATTCAATTTGTCATGAACTTATGACAACTCAGCCCACAGCCAACTCGCCCAACTCAAACACTCTCACTAATTATTACAACTTGCATCACTTTATCAAACTAATGCACCATTCAAAAAAAAAAAAAAAGAAATATAACAAGCTCAAAGAAATGTGTTTAAATCACTAGATTGTTTTCTTCATCTCTTCGTAAATTCCCCCTTTCTCGGAGCCCCCGTGTCACACAGAAACAGAACTAGCACTCAAAAAAAAAAAATACTACAAACTCACACCACTGAAGAAATGTTTTAAATCATCAGAGAGTTCTTAATTGTCTTCTATTAGTTATTTCCTCCATTCTTGGAGCACCCTTATCACATAGAGACTTGATTTGACCTTTCGAAAAAAAAAAAATACCACAAACTAGCACCACTGAGAAATGTTTTAATCATCAGTGTTCTCAGTTGTCTTCTTCTCTGAGATATTTCCTCCGTTCTAGGAACACCTGTGTAACACCAAGACAGAAGCTATTAATTGGACATTCAAACTCCTATGGAAGAAGAACTGACAAACTAATCAAATATCAACATAATGCACCAGTGCATAAAAACAGTTTGAGAAACACAAACCCAAGCTGTGTATCACCATAAACATTTCAAGTAGTCTTCAACACGCGCTTGCACGTGTTTTTTCTAGTATTATATATATTATAGAAAGAATTTATATATGAAATCGTCTTATTCTTCTGAGGAAAAGCATCTTATTTATTGGAGACAGATCTCTTTATCAAATATGTTTAAATATGATTGATACAAATCTGTCATAACAATAGAGGCTTAATGAAATGGATAATGTCCAGAACTAATCCATGGTATAAAAACAACTAAACTTTTTGTAGAATTAATGACAAAAATAATAAAATAAACAATTTAAAATGAAATAGGGAACAGTCGAGTTGTATCAACACTTAAAGGGAAAAACATTATTAGCTCATCTGGTTCAAATGTGCATTTGAGCTTGGCTCATCCCTTATCATCCATCCTCATCCACTTACTTTTACAAAAATCTTCTCTTCTGAAACTATACCTTGCTTGACCATAACTATCATTTGGGTATTTAGTTTTTAAAATGTGTTCAATAGATCTCCTTGCCAACCAACATGGCCACTAAGGCTAAGAACAGAACATGCGGGTAAAAGACATTTATAATCCATTTTCATTACACATGCAGGTATAGACAGAGAAAATCAGACAGGGTAGAAATGTTCAGAATGGCACAATCTAGCTACCGTCCATTTAGACAAAAACTGTCACACAACTCCTTTTAGGAGTTATTGCTTTTAAATGACAAATTTATTTCTTCAATTTTTTGGCAAACTTTGCAATTATCTTTTAAACTATAATATGCAAAGTATAACCCTTAGGGTAAAACTGATCAGTAGGATAAGATCTACAAATAAGTCAAAACAATCATAATAAATTATTATTAATTATTAATTGCTTTTACGACAGTGTTCCATTTGTTTTCTCTTGTCTGTTTGGTCTTGAAATACAACATTTTTAGCCAGGAAATTGAAGTCTTACAATGCACTTTTTAGGTTAATGGATTGTGTGTTGTTACTGGTAAATCAGAGTTCAAATGAAGTGGATCAATTATTGGTCACGGTACAATCTTCAACAATGAGAAAAACCCATACCGTATAGTCAGCTATAAAAGGAACTGACATGAAAAATGTTATGAAATGAAAGGTTATTAATCTTGATAAGATATTTTTATTGGAAGTCCTTGTGCTGATTTATATGTGTTGATGAATGGTACTATTACTAGATATCTCATCATAAATTCATTTTAATGAATAATATATATCTTTAAAGGCTTTGAACTATCAACAGTATCATAACAAATTGCAGCATTCAGTTGTCCAATTAAGAATTGATAGTCACAGAGTTGAAGCCATCAGTAATATTTAATGGAATCTGATTAAATGTTAAATCATCCTTGGTATCTCTTGTAGATAAAATGACACATAGATGCTTAATGTTAAATGGAAGTAGAACAGAACACTTTGGTACATTGAAACTGATGTACAAACAAAAGCATGTGTTTAACTCTAAACAAGTGTCTTAATTGAACCCTGTATTTAAACAAAAATCTGTCTAGTAAACTGTACAGTGGCGGATCCAGGGGGGGGGGGGGGGGGGGGGGGGGGGGGTTCCGGGTTTGAACCCCCCTTTTTTTGACGATCAATGCATTTGAATGGGGACATATAGTTGGAACCCCCCTTAATCCTGGGTTGGGAACCCCCCTTTTTAAAATGGCTGGAACCGCCCCTGCTGTAAGTAAGTCACCAAATCCCTATCTTAATCAAGATATATTTTCCAGTCCAAACATGGTTTGATTTACACAGGTAATTAATTACACTAATATTGTGCATACACATACAAATACAGCATTGGAAAATATCTGTAGTATCTTAAATCTTCAGTCTTATGTTCAATTTTATGCTCTAAGTCACAATTAAATTTTCCAGGGAAGATTTTGTCTTGTATAATTATATATGTAAAATAAGATCAATGACTTTCAGTTGTATCTGGAATTCTCCTTTTTTTTTGTGTTTGTCATTTGATGGCCAATTTGGATTTTCCATCAAATTATGATGTAATTTTGCCTAATAAGTTTGTCTGGGACCTATTGATTTATAGTCCAATAATGATTATAGCATTAAAAATAAACTTGATTAGGATTTGGACAAATAAACAATGGAAACTTTTCTGTATTATTTTAGTGTATTTACATTATGAATATATCTTTTAATTTGTTGCCTCACATTTGTTTATTACGGTGACACTTGTAAATGATTGATTGACTGATTGCTGTTTAACACCACTTTTAGCACTGTTGGCTATTTCATGGTGGCCAGTTTTTGTTGGTGGAGGAATGTGGAGTGCCTGGAGAGAACTACTGTCCTAACAATCCTAGTCAATTAAGATTGGAGTCAAATGCACCTGCCATCTGCACGACTCGAGCTCATAATCTTAGTGTTGACAGGCTAGTCATACAGTAGTTGAACTACTTAGACCACTTGGTCCTGGAGACCCCCCTTGTAACAATGATAAACTGTAAATACTGGACCTAGTAATTTATAGCGTATATTAGTTAGGGGTAACAATCTACTCTATCATTCTATCACTCTCTCAGTAATATCACGTTGATAACTTTGTGTAAAGTATCCTGTGAGTCTCTTATTATGTGTCGAAAATAAGTTTTCTGTTCCAGTATATAATGACACTTATCTTCAAATGTATTATTATTATATTACTAAAATGATGAATATATCTTTCTATTTTCAGTTGAGTCAAATATTAGGTCACAGTGACCAGTTGTATGTAAGATTACCTCCAGGATTGAAGATTTGGCAGCTCATCCTTGCCTTAATATTTACTGTTATTGCCTTGTGGGTAAGTTGACTGATAAAGAATTTTGCATTTTTATGCCCCTGCTGTTAGGTGGTTGGACGTTTAATATTACTGTTTACTCTAAATTTGTCCATATATCCTTCTAAAATTAAAAAAAACTTGTCAGGGATTTTTTCATCTTGCCTACAGATATTGACTTGATAAACATTCTGGGGTATTATTATTAATCAACACATCTAGGTATTCCTGTTTTCATATCAATTTATAACTTATAAATTACTTCAAATTCTTTAATAGGACATGTTTTCTCTGATTTATTGTGGTATTCTCTGAATTCTATATTCTGCATTGACTTCATGCTTGTGATTAAGTTCTTAATGAAGTTTATCAAAGTCTTGTCTTGCCAATTATTATCACTTTTTGCCCTGTTTGTACATTACATACATTGTCTTCTCTTCAACAGAGTGAATTATACAATCATGAAAAAGTTGCCAATTAAAAAAAATGTTACATAAAAATTGCTTTTGACTCTATCTGATCTTAATTGACTAGGATTGCCAGTTTTCTTGCCGAGGTCTGTTGTTCACTCCAGGCACTCTAGATTGAGTATTAAAATAAAAACTGCTAAAAGGATTTCATTTCCTTAGCTTGCCAGTGAAAAGGACTAGGCAGATCCCTAAGAAAATTACACTTTGATAATGCCACTTTTTCACCCTCCATGTTAAAACTGCCATTTAATACCTAAGAAATCCTTATGTGGTTCTCAGATATGATGTGAAAGACACTTGAGATCTTTAAGTTTTTTTGGTAATTATAAGCTTTAGGGAAATTCAGTAGTGTATTAGCAATTGTTTTATTAAGTTACTCAGTAGTGTATCAACAATTGTTTGATAAAGTTGAATATCCACCATGTATTGAATATCCACCATGTATTGAATATCCACCATGTATTGTAAACATGTGACAGGTTCAAAAGTTCATATTGATGAATCAATGTCAATTGCAGTATCAACACAAACCAACATCTGTGATGGTGCCTAAGGGAATTTCAGTAATAAATGTGTTTATTTTAACTATATGTTCTATATACTTGATTATGAATTATATATTATAGAATTTTATCTGATTATGACTTTTCTTATATATTTCAGGCTTTTATATTCCCTTCACATTTATATGAGACAACATTTGGAGACACTAGTGATGACAAACATCTTGTTCTGCCAATACGTCTGTATGGTATCACACTTATATGTAAGTTCTCAGGCAACAAACACCTTGTTCTGCCCATACATCTGTATGGTATCACACTTATATGTAAGTTCTCAGGCTACAAACAACTCGTTCTGCCCATACGTCTGTATGGTATCACACTTATATGTAAGTTCTCAGGCTACAAACACCTGGTTCTGCCCATATGTCTGTATGGTATCACACTTATATGTTAGTTCTCAGGCTACAAACACCTCATTCTGCCAATACGTCTGTATGGTATCACACTTATATGTGAGTTCTCAGGCAACAAACACCTTGTTCTGCCTGTACGTCTGTATGGTATCACACTTATATATAAGCTCTCAGACAACAAACACCTTGTTCTGCCCATACTTCTGTATGGTATCACACTTATATGTAAGTTCTCAGGCTACAAACACCTCGTTTTGCCCATACATCTGTATGGTATCACACTTATATGTAAGTTCTCAGGTTACAAACACCTCGTTCTGCCCATACCTCTGTATGGTATCACACTTATAAGTAAGTTCTCAGGTGACAAACACCTCATTCTGCCCATACATCTGTATGGTATCACACTTATATGTAAGTTCTCAGGCAACAAACATCTCATTCTGCCCATATTTCTGTATGTATCATACTTATATGTAAGTTCTCAGGCAACAAACACCATGTTCTGCCCATATGTCTGTATGGTATCACACTTATATGTAAGTTCTCAGGCTACAAACACCTTGTTTTGCCCATACATCTGTATGGTATCACACTAATATGTAAGTTCTCAGGTTACAAACACCTCGTTCTGCCCATACCTCTGTATGGTATCACACTTATATGTAAGTTCTCAGGTGACAAACACCTCGTTCTGCCCATACATCTGTATGGTATCACACTTATATGTAAATTCTCAGGCTACAAACACCTCGTTCTGCCCATACATCTGTATGGTATCACACTTATATGTAAGTTCTCAGGCTACAAACACCTCGTTTTGCCCATACATCTGTATGGTATCACACTTATATATAAGCTCTCAGGCAACATTCACCTTGTTCTGCCCATACATCTGTATGGTATCACACTTATATATAAGCTCTCAGGCAACAAACACCTTGTTCTGCCCATAGGTCTGTATGGTATCACACTTATATGTAAGCTCTCAGGCAACAAACACCTTGTTCTGCCCATAGGTCTGTATGGTATCACACTTATATATTAGCTCTCAGGCAACAAACACCTTGTTCTGCCCATAGGTCTGTATGGTATCACACTTATATGTAAGTTTTCAGGCAACAAACACCTTATTCTGCCCACATGTCTGTATTGTATCACACTTATATGTAAGTTCTCAGGCAACAAACACCTTATTCTGCCCGTACGTCTGTATGGTATCACACTTATATGTAAGTTCTCGGGCAACAAACACCTTGTTCTGCCCATATGTCTGTATGGTATCACACTTATAAATAAGTTCTCAGGTGACAAACACCTCGTTCTGCCCATACGTCTGTATGGTATCACACTTATATGTAAGTTCTCAGGCAACAAACATCTTGTTCTGCCCTGCATCTGTATGGTATCACACTTATATGTAAGTTCTCAGGCAACAAACATCTTGTTCTGCCCATACGTCTGTATGGTATCACACTTATATGTAAGTTGTCAGGCTACATACACCTTGTTCTGCCCATATGTCTTTATGGTATCACACTTACATGTAAGTTCTCAGGCAACAAACAACTCGTTCTGCCCATATGTTTGAATGGTATCACACTTATATGTAAGTTCTCAGGCAACAAACACCTTATTCTGCCCATACGTCTGTATGGTATCAAACTTATATGTAAGTTCTCAGGCAACAAACATCTTGTTCTGCCCATACTTCTGTATAGTATCACACTTATACGTAAGTTCTCAGGCAACAAACACCTCATTCTGCCCATACTTCTGTATGGTATCACACTTATATGTAAGTTCTCAGGTGACAAACACCTCGTTCTGCCCATACATCTGTATGGTATCACACTTATATGTAAGTTCTCAGGCAACAAACATCTCATTCTGCCCATATTTCTGTATGGTATCACACTTATATGTAAGTTCTCAGGCAACAAACACCATGTTCTGCCCATATGTCTGTATGGTATCACACTTATATGTAAGTTCTCAGGCTACAAACACCTTGTTTTGCCCATACATCTGTATGGTATCACACTAATATGTAAGTTCTCAGGTTACAAACACCTCATTCTGCCCATACCTCTGTATGGTATCACACTTATATGTAAGTTTTTCGGGCAACAAACACCATGTTTTGCCCATACGTCTGTATGGTATCACACTTATATGTAAGTTCTCAGGCTACAATCACCTTATTCTGCCCACATGTCTGTATGGTATCACACTTATATGTAAGTTCTCAGGCAACAAACACCTTGTTCTGCCCATACGTCTGTATGGTATCAAACTTATATGTAAGTTCTCAGGCAACAAACACCTTGTTCTGCCCATACTTCTGTATAGTATCACACTTATACGTAAGTTCTCAGGCAACAAACACCTCATTCTGCCCATACTTCTGTATGGTATCACACTTATATGTAAGTTCTCCGGCAACAAACACCTCGTTCTACCCATACGTCTGTATGGTATCACAGTTATATATAAGTTCTCAGGTGACAAACAGCTTGTTCTGCCTGTTTGTATATTAGTAAGTTCTCTCATTTTCATATTGATTTTGATGTTTAAACCTTGTTTACAGTAAACAGAGTGAAAAAAAGGTGTGTTTTCCTTAAAATTTGGTTCACATGATAATCAGTTCATTGCTTAATGTTAAGTTTTTGTGTTTTGGTCTGTTTTTTTCTTAAACTATAAGCAACAGGTCATCTATCTTTGGTGTATGGAATGATTGTAATGTTTATATGTCTGTCTGGCAGGTATCATCTGATCTTGACCTCATTTTCATGGTTCATCGGTCAATGATAAGTTTTCGTGGTTAAGTTTAGTTTCTTAGATCTATATTTGATATGTCAACTATATTTGTTTCATGGAATGATTGTAAAGTGAATATGTCTGTCTGAGAGTTGTCTCATTGGCACTCATACCACATCTTCTTATATCTATGTCTGTCTGGCAGGGTTCATCTGACCTTGACCTCATATTCATGGTTCATTGGTCAATATAAAGTTTTCATGTTTTGGTCTGTTTCTTGTATACTATAAGCAATAGGTCAACTATATTCAATGTATGGAATGATTGTACGGTGTACATGTATTTCTGGCTTGGTTTGTCTGACCTTGACCTCATTTTCTTGGATCATGATAAGTTAATGTAATACTTGTAGTAAAACTTTATATTTAGGGCTATCAACATAAAATCAATGGTAGTAAAGCAGGCAAGACATTTCAGCGTGTGCACTCTTGTTTTTGTGTTGTTTGGTTGCAGTCTCATGTACACCAAACATCTCCCTTTTGGGCTTTTCTAACTGAGATTTGGCCTCCAAGAGTACTAGAAGAGAGTTCTTCTTAGAAGAAGCATGTCGCCTGCAGGGAAGTCAGTATTAAACTTTTTTCTTCCTTTGTCATTATATACACCATATGATCAGAGATGTTGATTCAGCTGGTATAAAATGATAAATGGTTAGCAATCAATATTTCGAAGGACAATTTTCTCCATAATGCCCTATAAGTATTGTGTGATTGGCATGGAAACATCAAATTATGTTGTCATCAGATCTTCTTCTAGTTTTTACAAAAAGGAAATTAACTTGTGAAATGAGTTTATGCCTTTCTTAGGGTTGTGAAAAAAATAATGGGAACCACTATAAGTTGATTTGTAAAAGTGGCATGCATACAAATGAAAATAATTATTGTTTTCAGATTTTATTTTCTCGTGTTCTGGATAACTTCTTTATAAGCAATAAACATTTATACTGTATTTTTGTAGATTTCGATCAATTTCAATTTCAAGCTAGGGGTGAACAACTGTTTTATATAGTTAAAATGTTATTTTGTGAAGAGAACTTTTACGTTGTCTTATATCTTAAAAGTAAAGATTAAAGTATGACACGTGCAATGTTTTTGTTTATTTCATGTTATGAAAAGCAAAAGTAACTGTGTTTCTGTTCATATGGGGAAGCCATGTTATATGCTTAATTTGAGATTTTCCTATTACTACACTAAAAAAGGATACTTTAGAGGTCACGTTATTTATTAGTTGTTGTTATGCTGCAGGAGTCAATGCTGAGTGTTTACTGGAAAATCCATTTTGGACCCTTTTCAAATTGCATTTTTATGAATGTGTTCAATAAAGATTTCAGTCTGAATTCAAATTTCTCACATTTTATGAGATTCTTTCATGTTCATTCTCAGTGTGCTTACAAAGATAATAATGACGGGGTAATTTCTTTCTCTTTAGGATGCATAAACAGAATTAATTTGTCCAATAAAATCTTTATAGTGCTACATAAAATTTTGAAAGACCTTGTTGAGTTTGTAAAGCTTCCTTTATGGTTGAATAAGAACCTGAATTTCCCTATACTTTACCCACATAAAGAAGTGCTGATACTATGCATTCTATGATATCATTTTTAAATTCAAAAATGGCCTTGCTGATCCCTTACTCCTTATATATACCTGTATCCAGATTTTGAGTCTACATGTTTTCGCTCCTCTCTTGTACCTCAGATTTGATTATAGATTTGAAATTGACGTTTTGTTATCGGTTAATTAATTTATAAGATTTGCTGTAATTCCGGGCTATGTCTCATTAAGTCAGGTATTGTCCTAGAAGTAATAAGATAATTGATAGTTGTGGTGTAAATTTTCTCAAGAATTGGTATATTGAAATCAATTATGGTATAAAATATTCAGAATTGAAAATGTGCCGTGAATTCCTCATTTATTTCAATTAGATGGATAAATCAGAGGTTTTCAGGTCTTGGTTAATTGAATACCACAAATCATTGATCTCCTTAGAAAACTTTACTTTTAAAGTCATACTTATTCACTGTTCTTCAAGTCTTTGGTTGCAATAGGACAATGGTCTTTGATCAGAGTTTTTTTAATGACATATATGCTCATACATATTGATTTAAAATAACTATAGAAGACAAATACACCAGTTTACTCATCTTTGAAAAGATTAATATATATAGAACTTGTTCAGTGATATAAGCATACATTCTAATTTTAAAAGTAATAACTTTGAAAATGCCATAAAGATTATCAAAAGATCAACTGTTCAAGATTCAGCCAAGACAAAATACTAAAAACACTGGATGCTTGGCAGTATGAACTTCTTCAGAATGAGTGATAACATGTTATAGGGAACAGTGACGGGTAGATTCTTATTGTTTTGGGGTTATTTTTTGTTATCCTTATTTCAACATCATCCTTTCATTTTATGGAAAAGTTACTGTACTAAGCAGGCATTGTTTTCTGTGAAACCAATATCCACAGTACCCACTTTGTTTGGGTGCTTAAAACTTAATCCATTTTAGGTGTAATTTCGTTCGCAAAAGTACTTGTACTTGGAAAACACTATATTCATATGATATTTGGTGAGACTGGCACTAATAGACAAACTCTTCAACAGACAAAAAGATAGAAAATACAGTTGTATTATGATATGATCTTTTATTATACATGTCAAAATGCCAGATTTTGATTGGTTAATGCGAGGGAGACAATTTACTCTATCCCATGGCAAATACTCTATTACCCTTCACGGAGACGCTTGCTCAAGTGTACACTTTGATAAATACGGATGATTGTTCAAGACGACATAGTTTATTACTTTGAATTTGAAATTTAATAGACAGTAATAACAGAACATTCAGTATAATAAATTAGATAAAACATATCTGAGAGGGTGATAGAGCAGATTGTTACCCCTCGAAAAGACATTGTCAACCTTGGCTTCGCCTCAGTTGACAATGTTTTCTCGGGATAACAATCTGCTCTATCACCCTCTCAGCTATGTGTTATTTATATATTATTTTATTTTATTTTTTTCTTATTTTGATTTTAAAATTTGTTAATATTTTTCAGGTTTGTCGCTGGTATTCTGGTTCACAGTAAAAGCTGTTGATAAAGAACTAATTCGTCTGTTGTTGTTGTGTAGTATTATATACTTCACCCTTCATACAATTGGTAAGGTCAAAGGTCAAAATTAAACCAATGTAAAAAAGATGAATATTTGTGTCAGTGCTTACAATTAAAGACTGTGCATTGACACATAAATGATATTTTAATCAGAACTATGTCCACTAAAAACTAGTCCTTATGCAAGTGTTTTAAAAATAGAAAGGTATATTTAATAATTACCACAACACTCAGATCAAGTTCAAATTTGGATGGCATCACTTTTACCATTCTTGAGTTATGTCACTTTATAACATTATATGCAAGCGAGGGCATCATCTGTGTCCCATGGACACATTCCCCATTTATTATAAAACGTATATCATAGGTTTACATCAGCAATGTCTTAGAGAAATTCTAAAATCAGTGCTGATCAACTATTTTTTAAAGAGTTATATTTCCAAGAGCTGCTCTTGGAAATATTAATTATATAGAAAATTTCATTGTTAGCGCTCTCATGTCTACAATTCTTGACCATCAATTATTTTCAAAAGAGTTACACCCCTTGGAAACACTAATTATATGGAAAAATACATTGTTAGATCTCTCATGTGTACAATTCTTGCCAGATTTTTATAAAATTTATATCAGCAATGTCCCGGACAAGTTCGAAAATCAGTGCCCATCAAATATTTTTAAAAGAGTTATGCCCCTTGAAAATATTAATTATATTAGAAATTGCATTGTATTTGCTTTCAAGCATTCATTTAAAAGTTTTTTTAGTCATTGTCCTTGGATAGATAAAATATGTGCAACGTGGGGGACATTAAAACTAGGTTCTTTTATTTGATTTAGTTCATTTAGCTAGAAACAATTTAGATAAATAATTTTCTTTTTGTGACATATCTGTGTGTGAAATATTGTCATCCAAATTTTTAAATTTACCAGTAGTTAGTGGATGTTTTCCTTTGTTCAATGTGACCCAGTGAAAAGTTTTGCAACCATTTTTCTGGTGTATTAATTTGATATCTTTCTGAAAAAAAATTGCAATATCCTTAAAAAAAATTGGCATCTTATATGTAAATTATCATGTTATTTAAATTAATTTAATCAGAAAAAAATGACTGATTCTGTATGAACCAGTTAATTATACTCAAATATGTATTTTTTAACATCAGATTAGAATCTTCATAATGAATCATTTGAGTAATATCGAAGTACCTTGTTGAGTTTTGTGGATGTCAAATGATATTCATCTATCAATAAATCAACATATCCATTCCTATGCAAATAAAAAGGGTGTACGAGTTGAGAAGATGTTGCTTCATTCCAAATCATTAACCACTGGCCAAAGAATCACCTTTTTTTTACCAAAAAATAATCATCTCATCAGCCATTTTACTTTTAAACTACCAGAAATAGGATTTTTTTTTTGGAGGGTTGGAGGGCTTTATCAACTTCCAAAAATAAGATAAAAAATTAGCTCTTTGATCACATAGACAATGCCTTGTCAGAAAATATAACATTTATTTTTATGAGCTTTAGAAAAGAGAAGAAAAGAAAGGTTTGTCTAGCTTTTTTTCTGTTTTACAGCAAAGATGGTTCACTAAAATTTTATATTTTCTAATAATGTAAGTGCATTATATATAATTTGTATCCTGCAATTTAACACGTGACACCTCAATTTACAGTTTTTAAAATTCTAATTGTTGTGTTTGATTTTTAATGAAATCAACATTGCATAGACAGGGACCACAAAGAGGCTCAAAAATTAACTTTGACATAAACAGTAATTCGAATATAACTTTTCACTCAAAATAAGTCCAGGAGATGATATATTATTTGTATAAGAAAGTCACATAAGTATTTTTAAAATAAAATTACTAATTGCAGGATAAAATTAAATATTCTGGCTGTTTCTTGTTCAGCTTCAGTGATGGTGCCATTTTATATTATGTGCTGTTTTTGTTCTTTATTGTATGTTTCACCAATATTTGTATCACTTGATTTGAAAAGGTGTAAATAGTTTATAGGTCAAAGGTGTTATACACATAGAGTACTTTACAGAATTTATTCTTCAACTTGAGTAAGCAAAATACATTATGAAAATGATTAAAAACATGAACTTTGGACATTGTCCAGTAAAAGAACATCTACAAATACATTGATATATAACCAACTGCATATGTGTTATTTGATGGCTTGCTTCCAAACTAAAATGATTTGTGAAATAATATTTATTGGAGCCTTAAAATAAAACTTACTTAGAATAACTGCTTGTTCTTGCCTTTAAATGAAAAAAGTCTAAATTTTAATTCCAAAATGAAGAAAATGTTTTTTTTTAAAAATACTTCCAAAGTCAGTAAAGGATATTTGGAAAAGGAGAAATCTGGTGCATGCTTGTTCCTGCATTGATTCTTTATTAAATTAATCAGCTTATATATAACACCTCTTACCTATAAAAGATGCTATACCTTAGCTCTGTGGTATTTATAGTTTCAGCCATATGTGTGCCGTTGTCAACGAGTTTTTGTGCTATTCCACTACTACTTTTGTGTACTAGACTAGTCGCAATATGTATAAGTAGTTACTTCTACTGGATAATGACAAGAGATTGGCGACCCAAAGATCAATGGAAATTATATCGGACACAGGTATCCATCTGTCGCATCCTTATTAGTCGCTTAGTCTGTCTTTATTTATCATATTCGAATGGACAAATATCTTTTTGTTTTTATCTGCACATGCATTTATCTCCCTTAATTCACAAAATTGATTACTGTAATGAGTTAGAATTGTTTCCACAACATATTTATTCCTTTTTTTCAGGTTTTGACATTGTTGATTGTTTATATTGCTTGCTACATTAATATAAATAGAGTGGAAACTCCTAAACTGATACATATTTTTTATACCCCAACACGAAGAATTGGTATTTCTTTGGTTTCTGGATGATTATTAAAGTACCACTTGACCAAATCTTAGGTACTTTGAAAATAATGTCATGGATCATAAAATACATGTCAAAGTTGATAAATGTATTAATGATTTTGATATTTACCATGCAAGAGTTATTCCCCATAGTTACATTATTTCAAGAGTTTTCCCCAGAGTTATCTTAAATTATATTATTTGGGTTTCCAGGTGATAATGAAAGTACCATTTAACAAAATCTTTTAATCTTTTAAGATGTTATGAAACATAAAATACAGGTTACATTCAATTAAATTTTGGTTTTGTGTATAATCGTTATAAAAAAATATATAGGACCTAGGGAATATTACAATACTGTACAAATTTTGAAACCATTTTTTTATGAAAAACAACTTTTCAAGATTGTGGGACACACAAAATGTTGTAGTAAGAATTTGATCTCAATGACTCTCAACATATTATTCAGTCATGAAAAGTTCAGCAGACAAAAAATGTCAGATTGATCATTATTGTTAAGGTGCAATGCCAATTTTGATTGTGATACATCTTACCTGTCTCTAGAAAATATGTACAAGGTTGGAGCATTTCCACTCTTTTAGATGCATGAATTATGCATGACAGTAAATTAGATTTCAAGCTGAAGTCAGAAGTGTTTTTCTTAATTGTAATGTTTTTTTTTCTAAATTTGCTGTAATGTGTTAATTTTCTGCTTGTATTGAAAAAAAAATCATAAATGAGTACTAGTTTTGGTTTTGTGGTAAAATATTAAGGAAAGCAAATATTGGAAACAATTTGACTCATTATGGACACATTTAGAATTCATGCACATTTTACTATGAAGTGATTTACTTAAATGTCTCTTTGCTTGCTACTTTATTCGTTATAAAAATGAGATTCTGGATTTATACTTTTCCAGGTTTGTTTTTTTATTATGCCCCCACCTTAGTGTAGAGGGCATTAAGTTTTACCCTTGTCCATCTGTACGTCCGTATGTCTCGAAATTGGTTTCCATTCTCCAACTTAGGTTTTCTTCGACCAAATGTTATGAAACTTATGCACATTGCTTATAACCACAAAACACAGATCAGGTTCGAATTTGGGTGGCATCACTTTTACCTTTCTAGAGTAATGCCCTTTACAAATGGAAAAATAACTTCATTTTGCCTTAACCAAATGTTATGAATTTTATAGACAATGCTTATTAACACAAAACACAGATCAAATTTAACTTTGGGTGGCGTCACTATTATCGTTCTAACTTCTAGAGTTATGCCCATTTACAAATGGAAAAATTGCTGAATTGTTCGTTTCCGTCCTCTCACTAAGTTTGCCTTAACCAAATGTTATGAATCTTAAACACAATGCTTATTACCACAAAACACAGATCAAGTTTAAATTTTGGTAGCGTCACTATTGATGATCTAGAGTAATGCACCTTTTAAATGGAAAAATTGCTGAATTTTTCGTTTCAGTTCTCTTACTTCAGTTTGCCTCAACCAAATGTTATGAAACATAAATACACAATGCTTATTACCACAAAACTTGGATCAAGTATGAATTTTGGTAGTGTCACTTTAACCATTTTTATGCCCCCGCCATATAGGAGGGGGCATTAAGTTTTACCCTTGTCCGTCCGTACGTCCCAAAGTTGGTTTCGGTTCTCTAACTTTTTTTAATTTTGGTGGCATCACTTTAACCGTTCTAGAGTTATTCCCCTTTACAAATGGAAAAAATTGCTGAATTTTTCATTTCTTTTCTGTAACTTTAGTTTGCCTCAACCAAATGTTATGAAACGTATACACAATGCTTATTACCACAAAATACAGATCAAGTTTGAATTTTGTTGGTGTCACTTTAACAGTTCTGGAGAAATGCCCGTTTACAAATGAAAAAATTGCTGAATTTTTCGTTTCTGTTCTCTAACTTAAGGTAGCCTCAACCAAATGTTATGAAACTTATATGCAATGCTTATTACCACAAAACACAGATCAAGTTTGAATTTTGGTGGTGTAACTTTTACTGTTCTAGAGTTATGCCCCTTTACAAATGGAAAAATTGCTGAATTTTTTGTTTCGGTTCTCTAACTTAAGTTTGCCTCAACCAAATGTTATGAAACTTATACACAATACTTATTACCACAAAACTCAGATCAAGTACAAATTTGGGTAGTGTTCACTTTTACCGTTCTTCAGTTATGTCCCTTTATAACTTAATGTGATATGCAAGCGAGGGCATCATCTGTGTCCCATGGATACATTCATGGGACACATTCCCCATTTTATTTATTTATTTTTTAAATATAAAGAACATATGGTTTGCCTCTCCTCTTTAGTTAAAATATACCTATGATATCATGTTCCTTTTACTTACTAGCAAGCTCTGATAATTTTTCGTGCAATGACATGGAAAAATAAGTTGATACCTAGTGCCGGCCATTAAATAGCAATTCACTTCAAAAGAACAAATAAAACTAAAAAGGCCTGTTGTCACTACCAAAGTTTTCTTGTACAAGTTTTTGGCAAAATTTTGATGGATTTTTTATAGTGACAACAGTCAAAGAAAACTTTGATCAACAACTTTGACGGACTTGGAAGGAATAGAATCTCATTCTATTTTTCATGAAACTTGGATGAACTTGGATGTGAATTATCCAATCACAGTGTAGTTTTTTCTTTGACTAAGTTTTTGATAGTGACAACGGACTGACCAAAGAAAACTTTGACCAAGTTAACTTTGATAATTTTTATACTTTTAGGATTTGTATAAATGTAGACCACTTAAATCTCTGTAGCATTATAAGCACATCTACTGATTCAAAATAATTGAAGCATTATAAACACATCTACTGATTCAGAATAGATTGTAGCATTATAAACACATCTACTGATTCAAAATAATTGTAGCATTATGAACACATCTACTGATTCAAAATAGATTGTAGCATTATAAACACATCTACTGATTCAGAATAGATTGTAGCATTATAAACACATCTACTGATTCAAAATAATTGTAGCATTATAAACACATCTACTGATTCAGAATAGATTGTAGCATTATAAACACATCTACTGATTCAGAATAGATTGTAGCATTATAAACACAATTACTGATTCAAAATAGATTGTAGCTTTATAAACACATCTACTGATTCAGAATAGATTGTAGCATTACAAACACATCTACTGATTCAGAATAGATTGTAGCATTACAAACATATCTACTGATTCAAAATAGATTGTAGCATTATAAACACATCTACTGATTCAGAATAGATTGTAGCATTATAAACACGTCTACTGATTCAAAATAAATTGTAGCATTATAAACACATCTACTGATTCAGAATAGATTGTAGCATTATAAACACATCTACTGATTCAAAATTGATTGTAGCATTATTTAAACAGATCTACTGATTCAGAATAGATTAGCATTATAAACACATCTACTGATTCAGAATAGATTGTAGCATTATAAACATCTACTGATTCAAAATAGATTTACTCTCTCATCAATGGTCTATATTTTTAGAAGTGTTCAAATAGTTGATCTTTAAAGGAAGGAAAAAGAATTTCTGCATTATATTCACACAATGTCCATTTAGATACCAGCCTTATACATCATTAGAGCAAAACTTTTTGCAAATCGTAATAAAGTAGTATTCTCTTTGGCACATTATTTATAAATAAAGCAACAATAGGTACCTTTTTATACCACATGAAAATTTTAAGAATCACAAACAGTTACCTGTAAAATAGGCAAAATGGTATTGATTAATTGATTTGAATTAAATAAAGGCAAGCAAATGGACAAGATTTACGTATAGTAGTTATAATATATAGTAGATAGTATAACGAAAAACATTTCACTCTAATTTGTCCATGTTTGATATCTAAAATAATTCCTTATGAGAAATTTTGTAGTTTTGTATTAGCGGCTAGACCAATAGCCTTGATTATCCAGTAGAAAATTGTGATATGTTAGAATAGAAATTTGTTGATATGATAGAATAGATAAGCTTTTTTCTAGCTATCAGCGCGAGCATGCATTTATATAAACCGCTTGATTCAGTCTATGTAGATGTCCTTGTCGACATATGTTACATTTAGGGAGGGATTAAATATGTACTTGTTTTCATTGATTTTTTTTTATCTCTTTCGTTTTTTATGTACAATTATATGATCTTGATTTAGCCCATCATTTTATTTATTTTAAACCTCATTCCAATACACTGGTTTGAACATTTCAAACCTAAAAAATGGAAGATTTCACTTAAAGGGGAGGGAAAGTTTCTAGAAAGAGGTGTGCCATGGCACCTATTTCTTTTATTTTTTCATATCATTCTGGTGGTGACTGGAAGAAATTGTGACTTTTTTCTCCAAATTTTGAAATTTGACATCTTTATTAGGAGGCACTGCCCTTCTGATGGAGATTTAAACATTTTTGGAAAACAATTGGAAATTTGCAATAAATATTTTGACAATAATCTCTTATGCAAAGAATAGCAGAAAGATTGCTTATTTTTTTCATTTTAGGCAATTTTTTACTCATTTTTTCAGAACTTATCATTATTTTTCTTACATGTACACCATCCGGTAAAATCATATGTACTACCATTTTGTTAACTTTTATTGGACAAGTATTGAATGTTAAGAAAAGTTCATGCCAAGGAGAAGGCCTATATCACTACATGTAACTCCTATATTAACTATCATAT